TTTAAACTAGGTTCATAACCTAGTTTCAGGTAGAAAAATCTGTCAGTGTTTAATTTTGACTGACTAGTCTTTCCAGTAAGTCACAGTACTGCACAGTACACAGCCTGTTGTCCAGCTAGTCCGTTACACTCTTTGTAGAAAATCACACAATAAACAAGTACAGGTTTGTTATCCTGTGTCAATACCCCAAGGAGTTGACAACCAGCCAACAACTCAGTTTTCTCTTCTCATATCCCGGCCACAACCATGACAGAACTACACTGGCCCCAAACATTAGGATGAGTTAGTTCACATTTAAAATTATTGACTCCACAAACAAACTCCAAGGTAATTTAGGAGTCACTTCATAAACTTTTTTGGTCTAGAAGGCTATTAACTATCATCAATCCAAATCCTTCCACATAAAATGAAGAAATTAAGGAGCAATGGGGGAAAATGGCTCACCCAAGGTCACATCACTAGTAAGTGGCAGAAATGGGAAGAGAACCTACGTTTCCTGAGGATTTTTTCCCTCCCCATTTGCCTCTCATTTTTCAAAATAATCTTTTCTTTTTGAATAAGGAAAAATTTATTTGGGTAGAGGTTAGAGAACCAGGGGTTTGTGGTGTGAGTGACAGCAACCCCCCCAAAAAAACACCCATTTCCTAATCCCTTGAACCTCTGAATAACACCTTATATGGCAATACATGCGATTAAAGGATGTGAAAGGAGAACTCAATCCGGGATTATCCAGGTGGGCCTTAAATGCAATCACACGTATCCATATAAAAGAAGCAGGAGTTCTAAGCCAGACACAGAGAAAAGACAATGTGGAGACAGAGCACGGAAATGAGGCCACAAGATGAGGCTGACAATTCCCAGGTGCTGGAAGCAGCAGCAAGAAAGGGACTCTCCCCCAGGGCCTCCAGAGGGGCTCAAGTCTGCTAGACTGCAGAATTCTGGCCTCCAGAATTGTGGGAGAATAAATTCCTGTTGTTTGAAACCACCAGGTTTGTGGTAATTTGTTACGGCAGTCACAAGAAAATAATATACAGGGGAAATAAAACCATTAACTGGACATACATAAAAACCAATTACTGATCCAAAAAGAACTGGGTTCAAAGTGACTCTTTGCCTAAAACCTTTAATTCCTCACTTCAAAGGGTAAATTGAGGCAATCACAGGATGTAATTTACCCGAAATATATTGCCAGATCTGAAAAGAGAAACTCAGAAAGTTCTAATATTTACATAGCTACTAACAAGAACAGTTTAGGTTTTCCCCCCACACCCGCTAGCTGGTAGAGCTCCTGGACAGACTAAACACAGGCAACAGTTGTTACTGTGGGTGTTCTGCCAAATCAAGTGTAAAGTTGTCATCAGAAATAAAAATGTGGCTTCAAGTGGCTTACAGAAATCCAACAAATGTGCATCATGGACTCTGTACAAGACAACTCTCCTCCTCAGGATGACCTGGACTCCTTCCCATTAGAACAATGATCAGCTAAAGCCATCCTTTATCAGCAGGGAAGGAAAATCAAAAGTTTATGTCAGGAAAAAAGATGATTACCCAGAGTCCAAGCTCATGAATAACAATGTGTAAATAGCAGCCATAAGTGGTATTTCCCACTGTAATTTATTACCTTTAAAATCAATATCCACAGCACACAATGTTAAACCCAATTTCAGGTGAATAGAAATAAAAATAGACCAAGTAAAAGAGCAAAAAAAGGGAAGAAATGCTTTCCTAGGGGTTGTTAAATGGACTATTCAAGATGTAAATCATGCTATATGGTTAAGTAAAATATCTGAATAAAAGCAGAAGTACTAGTTTTCCTCACAGAGGAACCCTGGATACCTTTCTCTCTTTTCTAGAGCTATTCTCTCATATAGCTCTGAAAACCATCAGAACTTTCCTAGACATTAAAATCCAGTCACTTGAGAGGTATGTTCTTTCCTTTCCCCAACTATCACCCTGCTCACCTACTACCCAGACGGCTTACTACTAACTGGTATCAAACAAAACAGAAAAGATGTATTATTTTCCCTGGGTAAATTCATCTCACCTCCCCACACACCCTTATTTGTGACAATCAAAATGTCTCCAGATAGTGCCAGATGTCCTCTGGTGGTGGTGTGTAAAATCCCCCCAGTCGAAAAGCATTAATCTAAAATGACAGATGTTGGAGTTGATTATCTTGTTAAAATCTTTTATTTGACCAATTGGAAATTAGAAGAAGTGGGGTGAAGTATTTAGGAAGTGGCCTTCTGGAAATGGATCACTAAATCCTAATTATCTCTTCAGATACAAAGTGATTATTGTGCTATTGGCTGAAAGGAAATTTTTATTGTTATTTTTCATTTCTTGCAATTCAAACATGATTGATTACATCTTGTGTGTGTTTGGTTTCTCAAAATAATGGCAAATGTGTTTTTGAAGAAGGTATACTTAAGAGGCATACTATTGGAGCTAAACCTAAAAGGGTATGTATACTTTGCTTCAAACACTTCATACATTTACAGTTCAAAATGTCAATAATGCTGCGGTTGAGAAACCCTGTAGTAGATGAAGACTGTTCCTTTCAAGCCTAAATCAGCTAAGAACTCATACCCTTAACCTGTCTTTTGTTCATATAAACTAAGCAGTTGCATTATTAGCAAAAATAGTTTATAACCAAATATGAAACAAGTTTTTGCCATTTTGCAAGTACCAGAGAACATGGAAATCTCTCCTCTGTTCATTATAAGCTCAACCAAATCTTTCTTTTGTAAAACATCAGAAAGGTCTCTAATCGTATACTTCATATGTAGTTGAACTTAACTATAGTATTTGAACATCTTTCCCTTGATCCTAAATATACCAGCGAACACAGCACTATAGATTGTGATGCAGCCAATATGTAAAGAAAATTCCTGTATTTTACTAAGACATCTTGGAAAAAGCAGAATGAGCATTACCAAAAGGAGATGGATTGCATGTAAAATAAACACTTTAAAGAAAATATATGAAAAGACAATGGAATAATCGGTGATGGATGAGTCATCCCATCTGCAACACCCTAAGTATCACCCTCCCTAAGCAACTTTCTTCTTATCCAAATTCAGACACCCTGAGAGAACAGCAGAAAGAGGGGCTTAGAAACTCTTCAATGGTATGATACATGTCTTTATGGGGGAAAAGTTCCTCACAAGCACTGGAGACATGAATAATTTTTGCAAAGCACTTAGCATGATGCCTAGCAGTTACTGAGTACTCAAAAAAGTTACTTTTTAAATTTGTATTTTTATGCCTAGAATCACCTTAGCACTTAAGGGAAAAACAGCATTCTTTTGAGGTGTAAGGAGAAAAGAGATGATTATGACTGAAAATACTTAAACTGCCTTTTAATTTTAATAATAAATTAATATCCCTGCAAAGATGTAAACAGCGATCCAACCTGCCTAGATTCCACTGTGTCCCTAGATGTAACACACTTCGATATGCAGCTTTCCAGAACTCTATGGATTTACAAACACCGATTCGTCCGTGGAAATACGATTATTATTTAATTTTTCTCAGGCGCCTTTCCATGACAGTACAGAGATTATCCTATTCGTTCTAACATTACAAGTCAGACTTCAAAAGAAGCGAGTTCTCAAAGTTAAGACTTTTGTTTCCCCCAAACCTAAAAAGTGGTGGATGGTGAGATGTGTAGATGGTGGGGGGGTGGGGGAGGCCGGCAAAGTCAAGACACACAAGAGTAAGCCGTTAAGTTTCTCTACCAGGTAGGTGTATGGGATGGAGCCCTAAAGGCTTCGTTGGAGAAATCGCTGTGCAAAAAATATCCACCCCGACGCGCCATCATAGGTATTGAATCCCGTTCCTCACAATCTAACGTCTAAGACCTCCCTCTTTCGCAGCATTGATTGGACGATATGCGCGGGCGTTTTCCGTAGCCAACGTTCGCCTACTGGCTCCAGATTAGGTCCATCCAATTAACCACCCGATTCCCCATTGGAGTCAAACAGCGGCATCTTGTAAGAGCCCAACCTACCGCGCGCTTCGGGCTCATTGGCTCAGTGAGACGTTGCTCAGGAGCGGAAAACCCGCCTCCCGTATTCCAATGACCCAAGGACGGATCAGTTGGCACCTAGAGACAGACCCAATTGGCTGATACATTCGTCAGTCAATTCGTAGGCTGCAAAGTTCCACAGAACCTACAGTATAAAACATCCCGCCCCTCTTCTCTCATTGGTTGGTGGGACCCACCGCTCCCCTCTCACGAGCCCCCACCCCGCTGTCCATTCATTTCACACAATAACGGGCCCACTTGGAGTCAGTTCAAGACCTCGTATGAGTAGGGAAGACTGTCCGCCACTTACCCAGGATCGAGACAGGATCACTCACGCTAACGTCTTCTCTGTTCCTCTGTGCTGAGGCGGGACCACAAGCCACCGCTGCCACCGCCTTCTGCGCAACGCCAACCGCCCGCCAAAACGGATCCTTCCCTGCGCCTGCGCGACCAATCCTGGGACTGGACCCTTTCTCCGCCCTTTACGCCTGCGCAAATAGAGCCACAACTCCCGCCACTACGCAGGCGCCGTAGGTTCGTCGGGGGTCTCCCGCCCGCCATTTCACGTGTTACAAGCTTCAGGCGGAACTTCTTAATGCGCCTGCGTAAACTCGCCATTTTCCTACACATGCTCTCAGCAGACGGGGGTTGAAAATAATTGTCACATACTAATTTTCTAATACATAGTATTAATCATGCTTTGCCTAGTGAACTGAATGTTATATTTGGGGCGTAGAGAACTTAAAATTTACTTAAATACTGTAGGTACATTCAAATATGAATGATTGGTTGACTAGCCAATCAGATTAGTTAAGGGCAAATTACTCGGAATCCAATAGACGCCAAGGGGTGGAGACTGCGTAGAAAGCCAAGACTGATTACGTTACACAGTAATACGGCACCACAGACCAATAGTAGTGGAAAGCTATTTCAAATATCCAATCAGAGAGACGCAGAGGCGGAGTCTACCAATGCGGAAAGTGAGAAGGCGGGATAAAAAAGCGAGGCCGAAGGTAGGCTGGCAGATAGGTTCATTCGCTTACTCCTTTCTGCCCGCGGACGCCGCCAAGTAAGCATCGTTGAAGTTCCCCCCCCTCCCACTGCCGTCATGTCTAAGTCAGAGGTGAGTAACATACTCTTCTCCCAACTTATTCTTCCTGGCGCTTTTCAGGCTTACGTACAATAAGGCCTGGTTTTGCTCTGTGCAGCAGCCCTTTCGGCAGTTCTAAGGCCCCTGCCAGGGCCTACCCCTCCCAAAGTTCCCGTCGCCATTTTGTCCTCGTCGCCATGAGGCCTCCGTCCTGCAACCTTTAGTTATCAGGCCGGGCTCCGTCCTCCTGGCAAGACTCGGACACATTAAATAGATTTCTTACCTTGTCTCCGAGAACGAGTTTCTTGAAAAGCAACTGTACCCTTTCGCTGGCGCTATAACCCTCCCTCCCGCTAAGTCCTTTTGTTGCGCGTGCGCCGGGGGTGGTGGGTAGGGACGCATGCGCTCGCAGCTTCCCAGCCCCCAACATACCGCCGCCCTCAATGAGGGGAAGCACGTGGCTTGCAGGGACCCGAAGGAACAATGCGTGCTACATAACGTTGAGTTTTGTTTCTCTTAACTGGAAGGTATTTCTCGGTATCCCCAGTTAATGCTCTTTCCCCACCTCGTAGTCTCCTAAAGAGCCCGAACAGCTGCGGAAGCTCTTCATCGGAGGTTTGAGTTTTGAAACAACCGATGAAAGTCTGAGGAGCCATTTTGAGCAATGGGGAACGCTCACGGACTGCGTGGTAAGACTGGACAAGAGACAAACGAGCAGTAGAACTGGTTGATTTTCTTTGTCTTGCTGTAGTTTAATCTGAATGCTCAAAATGGTTAATAGGGTTATGGTTGGAAATTGGCAAGGGGAGGTGTGACATCGTTAAAAATACACACTAGATCGGTAGTGAGAAACTGAAAGCTTTGTTCTTTTGTGTAAAGGGCTGGTAGGATATTCTATTAGCCTACTCAAGATAGAAATGACAGTAATTTCTGGAATCTTAACTATGTATTAAATGAATTAACAACTCAGGTAATGAGAGATCCAAACACCAAGCGCTCCAGAGGCTTTGGCTTTGTCACCTATGCCACTGTGGAGGAGGTGGATGCAGCCATGAATGCAAGGCCACACAAGGTGGATGGAAGAGTTGTGGAACCAAAGAGGGCTGTGTCCAGAGAAGTGAGTGATTCTTTCTGCTTAAGTTAGTCAATTATAAGTGTGCCACTATGGACTTCACATTTACGGGTAATTAAAAACTTACATTCTTGATTTGGGGGGTAGGTTTTGCTAAAAAAAAATAACTGGGAGTTTTTTCTTGTTAGGATTCTCAAAGACCTGGTGCCCACCTAACGGTGAAAAAGATTTTCGTTGGTGGCATTAAAGAAGACACTGAAGAACATCACCTAAGAGATTATTTTGAACAGTATGGGAAAATTGAAGTGATTGAAATCATGACTGACCGAGGCAGTGGCAAGAAGAGAGGCTTTGCTTTTGTGACCTTTGATGACCATGACTCTGTAGACAAGATCGTCAGTAAGTATCAGATGATTGACATTTGCAAAAGATTTTGAAATTCCATGTTGTGTGTTAAACCCTAAGATCATGTTCTCTTTTTCGTCAAAACTTTTTAGTTCAGAAATACCATACTGTGAATGGCCACAACTGTGAAGTAAGGAAAGCCCTGTCTAAGCAAGAGATGGCTAGTGCTTCATCCAGCCAAAGAGGTGGGTATATTGCTTAGTTAAAGCTTAAAAGTAACTTTGTGATTACAATCTATATGACTTTAATACTTAAAACTTCTTTTTCAAGGTCGGAGTGGTTCTGGAAACTTTGGTGGTGGTCGTGGAGGTGGTTTTGGCGGGAACGACAACTTTGGTCGTGGAGGAAACTTCAGTGGTCGAGGTCTGTATGGTTATATATAGTTCACTACTAAGAATTAACAGTACGCTTATAATTTGTTTCCAGATGATTTGTTGATTTTACAACTTGGGGGTAAATGTAACTGTCAACAGACATTTTCAAAGTTACATTTTATCCCAATATAGTTGGCTTTTCACTAACCAGAGTTTTAAAGTCTTAAGTACAGAGGTCATTTTTGCAGTACAAGAATTGCTTGTTAAACACTACTTATAAGGGTGTGGTTCTATACAGTCCGTACACTGCATGCCTGGTTTAACACTCTGTTTTCTTCCAGGTGGCTTTGGTGGCAGCCGAGGTGGTGGTGGATATGGTGGCAGTGGGGATGGCTATAATGGATTTGGTAATGATGGTAAGTTTTTGAGGAATACATAGGTTAAAAGGGTTTTTGGCAACCTTTAGAATAGGTTAGTAGAGACTAAAATTGTAGTGCATGACAAGCTTAGCTCTGACCATAACAGCATGCTGTGAGCAGGCCTTTAAGCCATTAAGCTTGCAGAGAATTCGATTGCTGAATACTTATGTCTTATTGAGAAGAATTGTATTCTTGTAGGTGGTTATGGAGGAGGCGGCCCTGGTTACTCTGGAGAAAGCAGAGGCTATGGAAGTGGTGGACAGGGTTATGGAAACCAGGGCAGTGGCTATGGCGGGAGTGGCAGCTATGACAGCTATAACAACGGAGGAGGCGGAGGCGGCTATGGCGGTGGTAGTGGTAGGTATCCAGTGATCCAAGTACTCGGTGTAATAGCTAGATTAGCCTTTTAGAGTTTATGCCCATAATGGGATTTAATATTCTTAAAAGCATTGTGTGTGTGGTACACTGCATGGTAATGTTTTTTAATGAGCTTGCTAATGCTACCTCCTCCTAGCTTTAAGCTGGGGCCGCCTCACTCCCAAATAAATAGATAGATGGGTAAGTGGATAGTGGCATCTTCCATTGGAATTAGATTAGCTTCCAGCAGGATTTAGTATCTTAACTCCTTTGGGACCTTAGGCACTTAGTTGACATATCCAGTGAGTTTGCAGTGCCCCTGAATGGGTAAAGGCCTTCAAGGCTAGAGAATATACACCCTTATGTCATGGTGAGTTGGGTGAATTTTTACCTGGATTGTTCAACTGAAGGCCTTTCCCAGAAAGGATGAAATACAAAGATAAGCATTGGAGCCACCAGAGTTTGGGAAGGAAGACAGATAATAGAACTTCTGTCCATCTGACACTAGAATTGAGACCTACCATCTTCCCCCAACTAATAGACGCTCTTTCCATTCCTAGGAAGCAATTTTGGAGGTGGTGGAAGCTACAATGATTTTGGCAATTACAACAATCAGTCTTCAAATTTTGGACCCATGAAAGGAGGAAACTTTGGAGGCAGAAGCTCTGGCCCCTATGGTGGTGGGGGCCAATACTTTGCCAAACCACGAAACCAAGGTACAATTATAATGTAATGTTGCAGTATGAACTATATAATTACTGATAAGGAATACAGTGGATCCTGAGGTGTTATATGTGTAAACAACTAATGATTTTAAATGTCTGGAAATGCTTTACTGGTAACAGCATCAAGCTGGGGAAAATGTGAGCGTGAACACTTGTAACTGAATTTTATCATCCTATAAATTAAGGTATTGATTGCTCTTATTGATACTGGGAAACTTAAAGGAACAAATTTTATTTTTAGGTGGCTATGGTGGTTCCAGCAGCAGCAGTAGTTATGGAAGTGGCAGAAGGTTTTAATTACTGCCAGGTAAGTAAACAGCTTTTTTGTTTTGACTTCATTATTATAATTGATAATAAACCCAGTAACCCTAATATAGCTGAGCCATGCAACATAGTTAACATTATGATTATAGTAAAATTGTGGATTTTGAGTTAATGTTCAGATCAGCAAAATTTGTGGGAAACAAAACTTGCTATTGGATTGTAGCCTTGAGTCTTAATATGTTTAGATTAACAACTTTATTCCATATTGTTCAACAGGAAACAAAGCTTAGCAGGAGAGGAGAGCCAGAGAAGTGACAGGGAAGCTACAGGTTACAACAGATTTGTGAACTCAGCCAAGCACAGTGGTGGCAGGGCCTAGCTGCTACAAAGAAGACATGTTTTAGACAATACTCATGTGTATGGGCAAAAAACTCGAGGACTGTATTCGTGACTAATTGTATAACAGGTTATTTTAGTTTCTGTTCTGTGGAAAGTGTAAAGCATTCCAACAAAGGGTTTTAATGTAGATTTTTTTTTTTTTGCACCCATGCTGTTGATTGCTAAATGTAATAGTCTGATCATGACGCTGAATAAATGTGTCTTTTTTTAAATGTGCTGTGTAAAGTTAGTCTACTCTGAAGCCATCTTGGTAAACTACCCCAACAGTGTGAAGTTAGAATTCTTTCAGGACAATGCCAGGTTCCATTCAGAATTTACCTGCTTGGGCACAGAAGCTATTGTCTCCAGAAATCTTGGTGTAGTTAAACTTGAGTTATACTGTGTTGTGACCTGGAGTTCCATTAAAAGGGTCACCTAAGCAGTCAATGTAGTTTATTTGGTTATTAATATGATTGATTGTTGGCACATCCTATGCAATATATCTAAATTGAATTATGGTACCAGATAAAACTAGATGGGAATGAAGCTTGTGTATCATCCATTATCATGTGTAATCAATAAACAGATTTAATATCCTTTGAATGGAATGACAACTGTATGGATTTGGGACTGGCAGAGCTTTGGACTTTACCCTGCCCACTGCCCCTGATGATGTTCAATGCTTCTATCACAATTCAAGTTCAAAACTCTGCCAGAGAATAGAAACCAGCTGCTGGCTGATGCCACCCTATAAGTCCACAAATTAGAAGTGTTTGGGAGACCTTTTTAAACTGACCAGCACCAGTAAGAAATATCTTAATTCTTAATACAAAAACAGGCTTGCATTAAAGGAAAATTGCAGTTTAACTTTGGTTGGGTGGGCCTTTTTAGAGAGGTTTTGTAGATCAACCACACTAGTTATTACCTGTTCGGAGATAAAAATTACAGAGATGGTGAGGAATCATATCTACTTACATTGATAATTAACTGCAGTTTTCCTTTAAATATGGCCCAAGATCACGACTATTCTAAAATGTTAATTGTATATAGAAAATGATTTCTAAACTTATTTTTTTTAACATTTACTTAATACCTAGTCATTGTTATTTGTACATAGGTTCCCTCCCTTTGGTACCCTCAATTTCAGTGCCATTGTACCTAGTAGCATAGAGATTTGTTTATCCCTGTAGGACTGTGTATTCCATCCCATGGGTCTGTTACTTGGAAGTTTGGGGAGGAGGGTGGGTAGATGTGGGTTTGGGAGGGTGGATGTGGGTGGGAAAGTGGATGGTAGTTCCATGGGTTTTTATATTGGCTGAGTTTGCAATGGCAGGTGGAACCTTAACTATTGAGGGAGTTTGCAGATACCTCAGGATTCGTGACAATGCCTTTAAAGATCCAGGAGAGATGTTCAGCTACTAGGAACTGCTAGCAAGTATAGCGCGAATGGCTCCGAGCTCAGACTCTACAGCTGAGAGTAGACACTTGTGGTATGTGGAGTACAGATAAGCCAGGGGCGGGCACGGCACGCTCCATGAAAGCTAGGAGGGAGTGAAGTTTTCAGTGATCATCGCAAGGAAGGAGGCAGACAAGAGTAAGGCACACCTGGCTCTTAGGACTAGCATTCAGAACCAGGAGAAAAGGTTTTATTGCTATGCTGGTAGGTAAGAACAGATTTTACTTACATACATAATAGTTACCTAAAATCCAGTTTTGCTATATTTTCCTTAATTTGAGCCAAAACTAGTCCAGTTAAGCTGAACCTGGTTTTTCTGGAGATTAATTTATTTTGAATTGACACCCTAGTCTTTGTGGCTCTCAACTGAAGGAAGTGGGCACTTTTAACTTTTTCTACTGTGATACATATTTTTTGGCCCTTTAATTTTTATCTATTTCCTTCCTACCTTTGACCCATTTCTTTAAAATAATGGCTCAAAGTAATGCATTAAAATCTTCCCCAAAGGATGGAGGGAGGTGGGTGGACAATTAATGGGGTGGGGGTGGGGGATTTAGCCTGAGATGGGACTTGGTCTCACTAAAGAGCTAGTTTTAAAGGTTGTTTACTTTTCTAGGGAGGAGTCTGCTACCACAGGCTTTATCAACTCTTAAAAAAAAAACAGAGACTCAACTATCCAAGTTCATGGCTAAAAGGTAAGCTTGAATAAAGTAATAGTAATGTTTGGTATCACCAACTAAGAATCACAAAGTGCCTTTGAACCAGAAAATTGGGGTCTAGTAGATGAGCCAGCAAAAAAGTACTAAAGCAACTGGGTTTCCATTAATGGGAATGGATGTGATTGTAGAATCCTTCACCTGATTATATGAATCTTTTCTTTCTGCAGGAACATCCTTGTGAGGACAACCTTTATCTGAGCCACTGTGCACTTCATTTTTCACTGCCATGCAGTTGCTACTGGCTGCTCTGCAGTTTCAATGTAATCATTCAATTTTGTGAATGGACTTTTTAAATAAAATTCTTTTGACTTTGTTTCTTTTGTTCTCTGATACCTGTGGTTAAATAGCTTGATACTGTACATACTTTAACCATTTCAAGTTGGGGAATGGGAATTAAAGGCATTAATGACATCAGATGTCTGGCAGAAAAAATTCTTTTGGTTTTACTTTTTTTTTTCATTGTCCTTCAAAGCAGAAGCATTTTTAGCAGAGTCAAAAGTCAGTCCCCTTCCTTAACCAGTGTTTCTTTGGGTCCTTATAATCTAAGGGGATCCTCCTGTAAGTATGTAATCACTGCATCTTGAATCCAGCAGTTGAAGGAAAAGTAGAATGTAAATGCTTTAAAGAAAACCACAGGTTTGAAATTGGGAAGGATTGGGCTATTTGAAGTGGTTCTGATGGCTGTGTAGATGAAGGTTTATCACAGCAGCAGCATTTAGTGAAATGAGAAAATAGATGACCCAGCAGGAGTCAATCTTCACTCAGTTATAAGTTACTGGTGCTGTACCTGAACGTTTCCCTTTACTAGCTCCTGTGGCAGGAAAGCTAAGTTGTATTAAAAGCGAACAGCTGTATTTAGCTCTGAGTCTTACAATTGCAACGCTTGTCGAGGTTCTGAAAGGGCTTAGTGGATCTCTGATGGGTAGGTTCAGTGTTAATTAGCTAAATAAATTCAATCTAGGGGAGAAAAGATGTACTTGATATGAAAAGTCTTAAGGTAACCTAAAGGTTGATGAGGAAGCAACATAACCCTCAAGCAGATGCTTATTTTTACCCTACAGCATTTTAAGTCTCCCAGCCTCTCTTCATCCTAGCAAGAGGTAGGGAATAAGGTGTGTGAACCCATAGGTCCTTCTACAACTGATTTAATCTGTTGCTTGAAATTGACCAGATGTTCTGCATAATCTAATCATGGTTTGAAGGGAGGGATAGGACAGCTCAGGCTACCAGTTAGCTAAAAGCATTCCTATCCAATAAAAGTTTATTCTGCAGTCACATTCTGTGTTCTTTTCCTACCTGGTCGACATTTAAAATTGTTAGTAAGTTCCTTTTTTTCAGATGAAAGATTGAATTACCTCAATTCAGGTCCTTAGGACTTCTGGATCACATAATCCAGGTCACTCAAATAGTATGTCCCATCTTTTGTTTTAGGTAGACATACTAAACTGTAGGATGGTCTTCCTCAGTGTATCCAGAGAGCATTGTTTCGTGTAGAGCATATTAGGTGCTCAGCAAATACCTGTTGAGTAGATGAATCTAAATTTTGCTTCTGAGTTATCATTGCTAAGAGCTTGGTTAGAAGTGAAAAAATCTGTTATCCCTTAGGTGATCAAGTTTCTGAATAACTACAACTTGATCCTATGATCCTATATTTTCAATTTTTTGGGAAAAACTTGACAAGTCTGAACTGTCTAAAGATCTATTAAGAATAAAGCTTTAAATTTTCTTAAATCTAGCCAAGAGATGACCTTTCCCAGAATCTGTACATATGACCATTCTACATCTTTGATCATTCCTGTCTTGTTTTTATGTCTCAGAATTGTAATATCAACTAGGAAGTAAAGTTTCCCCGTTGGGATGGAGCTAGTAAAATTGAATAGAAGTTAAAACACCCTAAAGTGGTTATTTGTGTGATTCAGTGACAGAGAAGATTGAGAACAACTTAACTTTGAGAAGATGGGTGTTGGGAAGCTTTGATTGGACTTTGACATAAAGGATTCTGAGGCTTAATTGTTTGGTGCGGTGGGGACTAACAAAAGGCCCTACATCTTTATAAGGATCTAGAAAAGAGGACTCCCAAAACAAGAATAGGGCAGGATCTAATGTAACCAGGGAGAAAATTTCACCAACGTGTGTTATACACCACTCGGAACAGGTGTTACCCAGGCCTGGATATGAAATCCTCTGAAGCTTTGACAGCCAATCAAATTCTCTTCCAATCCAGAGCAGCTTACTTAGTCCTCTGAGAGACCCAGCACGTCAGGACCTGAGCTAGGCAATCCTACAGGAGTAGGCAGGAGAAAAAAGACTGTGGACATGCCAGGCTTTTCTGTGCTCCAAGGATTAAAAAAGACAAAAACCTCAGGGATCTCGCAGGGTGTAGCTAGCTTTGACAATGATCCCAGCTCCACGTGGGGGCCATGATGTATGGCCCTTGGCACTGAAAAGAGGGATGAAAGTAAATCTCCAGCTGCTCAAACCTCAACTTCATGTGTACCTCTCATACAGAGCTATAGGGGAAAGGAGTGCAGCAGGATTCCCTCCCCACCAACAAGCAGTAAGCTGTGATGAGTACTCAGCTTCATCACCCTCTCTTGAGAAGGAAGACACTGTGGAAGGTTGCTTCTGTAGAGTGCTTTATATACCAAAGCTCAAACATGAGGTGGAAGTTGGAGACCTGCGAAGCTGAATCTTGGAAGAGAGAGTCCAGCCCTCCCCTCACACGCTTGCTTCAAGGCAATCCTCACTGAACACATCCTGAACCTTCCAAATACCAGGTTTCCAACATTGTCCCCTCCTGATCTGGAGAACTCAGCTCCTCCTGGGCCTCATGATTGGGGAGTACTTTTATCAGAAGGGAATGAAGGAAATCTCCATCACCAATCCTGCCCCTCTGGGCCAGCTCAGTCTGTGGCCTCTATCTTGGTCCCCCGGGGCACCAGGAAGATGGCCCCATCAGCAGCCTGCTGCAGTGCGTACTCTTCAGGGGAGTAGCTGTTGCCTGCTTCATCCCGCAGGTGCTGGAAAATGTCACGGTACAGTTCTGTTAGCTGTTGGCGCATGACCTCCAGGGTCCGGTCAGCCTCCCCTCTGACCCGGAGAAGCCGCTCCCGTTCACTGCCCAGCCGCTCCAGTTCCTGCTCCAGCTGCACGATAGTCTCCAACTTTCTCTTGCGACAGTTCTGGGCTGCCACCTTGTTCTTGCCCCGCCGTCTGATGTCCCGGACTAGTGCCAGCTGGCTCTCCGTTAGTGGATACCGTGCCAATAGCTCATTAAAGTCATCTACCGGCAAGTTAACAATCTTGTCCGTAGGAAAGGGGATCTTCATGGCCAGGGCCCGCCGCTCATCCCGACTCCCTGCCTCCCCCCGTGCATTGGGCTTGGCCCGCATAGGGCCTGAGGAAGTTTCTAAGGCTAAGGGGGTCTCGGCAGGCGGCAAGGCATAGTTGGGGTGGGCTAAGGAGTTGGGCATAAGTGAGTAGGAGTATTCCACTGGGTACATCTCTACGTATTCACTACGCCGCCGACCAGCCTCTGTCCCCTCAAGCTCAAGAGATTCAGCATCACTATAGTTGAGGGATAACCCTGAGTCTGATTCTGGGTCTTCTTGGGGCTTGGGTGGCCCCGCAGGCAGCCCAATGTCCAGGAGGGCCAAGGGGTCTGGGAGGGGCTCACTGAGCAGACCTGAGAGGGTCAGTGGCTTAGAGACTGGTATGGTGATGTTGCCATATGAGTATGGGGTGTCTGGGACATGAGAAGCGGGTGCCGGGAGCTCATAAGTTGGTGGAGGAAGGGGGAAGCCAGCATCTGGGTGGATTGAGCAAGGGCAGTAAGTTGGGGGCGGCAGGGGCCCAGGGTATGGGGCTGGGGCTGGGGGCTCGAATGATGGTTCACTTGGAGCATTTAGGCCCTGCAAGAAAAGACACAAAGAGGTTTGGAGACAGGCTTAGAAAAAGAAACCACTCTCAAGACCAAGCTGGGTCCTTCTGAAAAACCCAGTGAGATAATAACAAGGGTAACTGAAAAGTGCTAAAAATCACTGAAAGCTTCTTGTAAAGTTGCAATGCAGCTATTCCAAGAGAAAGCAGCTTAAACAAGAGTGGAAGTCACTGAAGTCAGACTTTAGAAAGGACTAACATTGCAACATTTATGCATCTCCTCACCAAGGGAAGTTCTTACTGGATTGAAATGGTTCATGTTCCTTAATTTCCTTCAGGAAGACAAGGAGCTCTTATCCAAGATGACTCCTTGAAACTCTTTCCTGCTGCAATTATCTAGGGTCAAAGGTTCAAGTTCACACCCTGACCATGCCCTGGCTGCCCAGCAGAGGGAGCTGCTGTGCGGGAGGAGGGCTTAGGGCAGATCCTGGGGGCCCAGGCACCGAGGCTGGGGAGAGAAAGGGAGTGGTTGCAGAACCAGGTCTGGGGGCTAAGAGGCACCTTGGCGAGCCAGCACAAACCCCACCCGCCCCCTTCAGTCCCTGTCCCTGCCCAGGTGCAGAGAGGAGGAGAGAACATGATGGAAACAGGGCCCCCGACCCATGTTGGGGAGCCACCCTGCTCCAGCCCAGCTGGGGACAAAAGCATCATTGTTAGACCAACAGACACCCTTTTGTCCAACTAGCAGGAGGAGAGGACCCCGGCATAGTCTGACCCCCCTTCCCAAGGCCCCTGAACTACTGCTCTGCTACCTGGGGGAAGGGGACCCAACTGTGGAGGGCAGGGGGAGGAAATGGAGAAAGATGGGAGAGGGAAGTGAGAAGGGAAGAAGGTGAGAAAGGGAAGGCGGGGCAGGAGGTGAAAAAGAGAGATGTGAGCAGAGTGGCTGCTGAGAGAGCTTACACCCCCAATCAGATCCCTCCTTCCCCACATTCTATCCCCTACTCGTTCACATCCCTTCTCCCTTAATGTTCTGGTCTTCCATTCAGACCTCCCTCTTACTCCAGCTCTTCCTTTTCCAGTGCCTGAAACATTTCCAATTTGCTCCATCCCCCTGCCTCAGTCTCAGCCAGACTCCCTGCTTAACCTTCCTTCAACTCTGTACCCCAACCCCACTCACCTGCAGCTCTGTGATGGACATGATCTCTTGCCAAGTCAGTTCCATCTCACCCAGCTCCAGAGTGGGCAGCTGTGTCACCCTGTTTCTGCTCTGCTGGGGAGGACACGGGGGCATCCTACTGGACCAGGGCCTGGTCCAGGGTCCCCCAAAGCTCAAATGATCCCAGTAACTAACCTGTATCAGAGGAGAAACAGGGGTTAGGGCCTTTCCTGTAAGGATTGGCAATTTTGTCCTACCTCCAACTTCACCTGCGAGGACAGATCCCCCGCATCCACGTTTTCCTCAACCAACTCCTTAAGCTAGAAAGTCTCTGAGGTATGGTCTCCATCTCATATGGTCTCCATCTCACCTACTCTCTATATAACTAACTATAGTTAATTCCTTTTTTTTTAGGTAGTAGTCTTTACCTTTTTTTTTTTTTTTTTTTCCCAGAGATGATGCCTTCTCTTTCCCCTACTTCTTACTCCCCAAAACTGTATCACTGGCTGGGGCAAACGTCATATCTTCTGGAATTTTTTTTCCAGTTTTCTGGAGCAGCATCAGAGATTACTCCTGCTTTTCTACTGTCTTCAGTTTTAGGATCCCAGTCTTTTCTTCCCAAGATGAGGGTGAGTGCTTGGGGATCCCCAAGGAGTGTGTTGTGGGAAAGACCAAGCAGACAGCTCCTCCCCTTCTCTGAGATACAGCCCAGGCCTGGTGGCTGATAGCAGCCCTGCCCTCTCCTTCTATCCTTGCCCTGGGCTCCCCTGCCTGGACCAGATAAGAGGTTTATCAGCTGCAAGCAGCAAAAGAGGACTGGTCCCTGGAGACACTGGACCTCTGCCCTGTGTCCCCACAGGGTCATCTTGGCCATAACCCAGCCACACAGCCAGGGTTTTTTTCCAACTTCTAAGGTAATATAACAACCATAGCAAAAACTTATTAACCATTTGTCAAGAACTGTGCTAGTGTTTTACAAGCATTAGTTTATGAGACTGATTTTCACTAAGACCTTATAAGGTCCATTCAGGAATTGAGATTCAAGCTCCTAAATATTAGACTCAGGTGTGAAACCTGTACTGGCTGACTCTACTAGCCTGTTCTTGGTTCCCAGGCACCTTCCCATCCCGCTCCTGTGTCTCCAAACTCCAAGCCTCTGGTAGTGGTCTACATCAGTCGATTATTTCTGTGGAAACTCAGTCTCTTTTCTCCTCTTCTGGAGAGTATCACTTTAGAGGCCTAAACCTACATTCCTTTTCAGCCCCTTTTCTTTTGATCTGGGCTCCAGTTGCCTGTCAGTCACAAAGCAGCTGTGTGATCTTGGGCAAGCTATCACACTTCTCTGAGCCTCTGTTTCCTCTTTCGTAAAACCAGGGAGTTGGATAAGTTGAACTCAGAGGTCCCTTTCTGCTTGGACAGCTTAACGTTCTCAGCAAAACCTCACCCCCTTCCTTCATCTTCCCTTCTCTATCAGCCCCTTTTCTCATCCTACCTCCCTATTCCCTGACAGCCATCTTCCCCTGCATCTGTTTTCCCTGCTTTGGCAAGAGATTCCAAGTAGATTTGGCAGGGGCCTCCTGATCATTTAGGGCCAGACACTGTACCCTGCCTCTGCCATATAAGTTAATTGGTGGGGGAAACTTACCGAAGGACACAGGATAGAACTGGATGACCTCAAATTGCATGACCTTAGATCACCACAAGAATGGCCTATCACAGCTATTAAATATGGAATCCACTCTTTGACTTGCCACAAAATTAGTAAGAATTACAAATTATCCTTTTGAAGAAGGATCTCCCCAGACCTTCACCTACCCCTTTGCTACAGTGCCATCCCCAGAGCTGGACTTGGTGTAGCCACAGGCCCTTGGCCAGTGGGCAGAGTGGGTGGGGTGTTTATGTCTGTCCAGGATGCCATTTCAACACCGGAACCCCACCCTCCCCACCCAGGTTCTGGCGGAAATTGCCCAAAGGCAAAGTGAATGGAGAAGGGGTTTAGGGGGCAGGGACAATGACTCTTGCCTTGTAGTCCTTCAACCCCCACCTTTTGTCCCTCCTTTTATCTTCTTAGATCTGACTCAGGTGCAGTATAAAGATCCAGCCCTAGGAGGCAGGAGACCAGGTTCTCTGGCCTTCAAGATGCATGACCTTGAGCAAATCGCTTCACATTCAGTCTCTTCTGTTAAATGGAGACAAGACTGGAGAACCTCCTTGCTGTGAGAGGCAGTAGACTGCATCTAGTTTAGACAGTCGCAAACTTTATGGTGTGCCACATTCACTTGGACTACTGGCCAAAACACAGAGTCCTGTAACCCACCCCAGACCTAATGAATTGAATTCATAGTTGCAGGTACCCGGCAATCAGCATTTTAGCAAGTATTTCCATTGCCAGAGGCCCACCCACCTTCAAAAATACGAAACTAGTCTAATCTTATGGATTTACAGGTAAGAACACAAAGCCAGAAAGGAGCCTGCCAAATGATCTCTAGACTTCTCCTAGCTTCAGACCCTTGACCTAGGTTCAAGACTCCCCCAGTCTCAGAGACTGGATATCAACCCTTTCTCAGGAAGACCAGGAGCTCAAGCTCCCCCTTACCCTGGGACAGGGAAATGAGAATCCAGAAGGGTCACTGGGGAAAGTTGGGGAAGAGGGAGCTGAGAGAACCTCTGGATCAGCTCCAACTAGCTCCCTGCTGCAGTGTAAGTTTGCACCAGACCAAGGGAAATAGTATGTTTTTCCCTAGACACTCAAGCATAAGTCCCTCTGGGTCTCATGAGCCTACCTTTCTGAAGATGAGGAAGGGAGGGGAGGGGGCGAAGGCAGCTAGTGGTATAGATTAATGAGGAGGGTGTAGTCAGAATCAAATCAAATAGAACATCATAGAGGATGCAGAAACTGGAAAGATACTGAGAAAGTGGAGTGGGCCTTCCTGTATCCCTTTTCTTTTACAATAAACAGTTCCCACTTTCCATGTTAGCTTGCACTTTGAGGCCACACAGCCATCTTACTCCCCACCATCATGTTTCAGGTAGGACTGGAGCCATCTCCAGGTACTTTGATCCACCCTCCTTTTATTCTCATCCTGATGGTCCTGTCCTGCGCAGAAAGATGGTCCTGTCCTACCATCAGAGTCCCTGAGTGCTCAGAGTTATATGGAGCTTTATGCTTAAGGATGAGGACCATTTGGGGAGGGATGCTGGGAAGAGGAAGGCATTTGGCCTCAACTGCTGTCCTAGAGTACTACCTCCCTTGACAAGGGAAAGAGAGAGTGGGGGGAGTTGCCTCTGAGACCCTGTTCTGAGGCTTATTAGGCCACTCCCCCTCCAGATGTCAGTAGAAGCAGTGAAAGGATGGGGAGGGATCAGTAAAACTTGGGGTGTAGAGTGGCAGATGAGCAAACTATTTAGAAAGATTCCCTCAAAGAAGGAGAAGGACACAGAGGTGAGACAGAGAAACAAACAGAATTGTGGAACTGGGGAGAGAGACTGATTTGATCAGAGTGAGATTTAGTCTATGGGGGGTATCCATGACTTGAACAGGTATGGTAAACAAGGGAGAGAGGGACAAGTTTCATTATCCTGTCTCTCAGCCCCTAAACTCCAAACTCCAGACCTATGGGAGCCAATGACTAGAGAATCCCACCCCCAACAGGTCTGATACCCGCCCTCTTCTCTTCTACTGCCTCCCAGCTCCCTACCTCCCAAGTTACCACAATTTCCAGTTAGAAGGAACTACACTGGGAGTGAGTTCCTCTCCCAGATGCCTTCCTTTCCCTTTCAGTTCTGGCTGCTCTCTACTGCCCTGGGCCCAGAGAAGAGAAGGAGCAAAAAGCTCAGCACCCTTACCCCCACCACCCCATCCTGCTGCAGCAACACTTACTTCTCAGCCATCCAGGCATTCAGTGTCATCAATTCCTCAGCTTCCCCCAAACCTTCCCAGCTGGCTGGCCAGGGCAGCACAATATATTGGAGTAAGGGAAAGGGTGGTACCTTATACCTGAGGGTTATGGGCTTTCCCGGGACATCCAGCCTGCTGAAGGGTTGGTCAGAGTCACTCCCCACCAGCTCAGGGGGCCACAGGGAACCACTGTCTCATCCCCATCCACAGCCTCTCACCCCAAGAATCCAGGGCACTCAAGAGGCCATCTAGTTCTTCCCCTAGAGTTCCCAAAGATGTCAAATTCCAAAACCAGGGAGGCAGCTTGGGGAGGCCTGAGATCTCCTAGGAATGTGTGGAAAGTTGGTTATTCTTCCCTCTGCCTCCTCTACCTCCCTGCCTGCCCCTTGGATCCCCCTGTAATCCCCCTCCCACTCCACCTCCCAGGCACCTGTGGCAGGGTCCGAGCAGGGTGAAGAGAGAAGAGGCTCCGGGTGCTGTCTCTAGGGAGGCTGGGCTGGGCTCACACCTCCCGGGTGAGTATCCCTGCTACGTCTGAGAACCGGGACAAGCCGTGCCCCGCCCCCAGGCCATTGCTGAGCGCTGAGTGTGGACACTCCTGCCAGCTGCACACCAGCCTCCTGTCTGAAGCCCTCAGCCTGAGTACTCCGTCCTTCCTCCAACCCTCCCCTTTCCCCGTTGCCCTCCTCTTCTCCTGCCCCTTCTGGCCAAGAGAGGAAACTTGAGCCCGGTGTGGTTTCTGTCCGCCCCCCGCCCCCAACCTTTCTCCCAGCCGGTGGGGGCAACATGGCTCCAAGCCTCTCTGATCCTCCTTTTGAGCCCAGGAGTCCAGCCAGGTCTGTATTTCTCCCATGAAGAATTCCAACCTGATGACCCACTCCAGACTGACCTCTAAACCTTATGGAAGTTGTAACCTCCTTCCCTATGCCCCCTTGACTCTCTTAAGGATGGGGAAACTGAGTCCATAGCAAGGTGGAGGGCAGCTGATTAGGAGGACCAACTGTTTAAGCAGGTGGGCATATATGGCACTGCTTTTATTTGTGGAAAGCCTGGGCTCTGGGAAAGGGGTAGGGGAACTGTTTTGGGGAGGAGGGACAGCTAGCTGCTTTGATGTGTCCTTTCACCTGTAGTCTTCTCCCCTCCCTCTGCAGCCTCAGATGTCCTAGGACAAAGGCCTCTTTCTTGGCCAGGTTTGTTGTAGATGTGTGAGGGGAGCTGTGTGTGTGTGTGTGTGTGTGTGTGTGTGTGTGTGTGTGTGTGTGTGTGGTGAGAGTGCCCAACAAGGACATTATTCACCTCCCTCAAAGGGGACCCCAGTGCCCTCGTTTCTCCTTTTTACTAGGCAAGGCATGCCAGCCACATGGCAGCACATACTCTGGACACGTGTGCGGGTTGTCAGGTCCATCCACCAGCACCCACAACATCTCCTTGGCAGGCCACTAAGTATCCCCAGAAGCCACTCAGGCATCCCTTTGCTTCTAACATGCAACCCAAGCCCCAGGCCAAACATATCTCTCTTCAGAGACTAGGAGAAGAGTCCTGCTTCCTCCTAGATTTTAGTGGCCCTTAGCTTGAAGTCCTTCCTATGTCTAGCTTTAGCTCTTACACCTGCAGCTTACACTTTTTCTCTATTTTTTCTTCTTATGATGTTCAAGTTAAAGTGGAAATAATTAAAGACTGAGGAGGCAGGCAGTTACCATCCCTAGACAGGGCTGGCATTTAACCAGCATTCTCTGATAGGATTGTGCACACTGTTAAAATCATGAAAATATTCTGTCCCAGTTGATAAAGAATAGCTGCTGGGAACCCTCCAAGTGTTCCCCACCACTATATCACTACATCAGCCAGCCCAGTTCTCCTTTAGCATCTCCCACAAACAGCAACACAACCAAGCAACTTAAGGGGCAACAAATACCACCTCTTTGCAGGCTCCTTGCAGCCTGTGTATGTGGGGTTGATCGATAGTCAAGCCAGAGCCATGGTTAAATGTTTTGAGTTTCACCCATATTTCCGGAGATCATGGTTCTAACATGTGTGATCTATGTGGGATATGAGGTGACTCATGGCTTCACTGTATGCTACATATGAGTTCAGAATCTCAGATTGAGGGTTCAGATGAACTAGGCATGAATCTAGGCCACAAACCCAGAATCTGGGTATTCAGATACAACTTTCTCAATTGCATACTTATTTGGGCCCCTCAGAGGGGATGAAAGGTGGTGGCAGTCATTCCAGTGGCTGATTAAATAATGATATCATGTTACAGCTAGTAATAAACATTTATTGAATGAAAACTATCAGTTCAGGGCACTGTAGCATTGCTGATACAACTATGGATAACACAAGCCTCATCATTCATTCATTCAGCAAATATTGATTGTCTACCACTTTTTACACTCCAGGAACGCAAAGATGAATAAAGGCGTAGTCTGTGTCCTCACTCATAGTCTAGTCAGGGAATTGCATTAATCAAGGTGTATATTAAGGGCTGTGGAGCTGAATTTCTACCTGGTGAAATTCAGGGAAGGCTTTTCAGAAGAGGTGACAATTGAGCTGGACTGTGTAGAATGACTAGGGATTCACCAGGCAGAGAAGGAGAGAAGGGTATTCCAAGCAAAGGTGTAAAGGCGCAAAGGCATAAAACGCAGAGCACTAGTTTGGGTTTACTAGGATGGGGTGTGGGGTGTGAGGCAGAAGTTTGGGCTAGTTTGTAAAGTGTCTTGAAAGTTAAGCTAAGGAGATTGCATTTCATCCTGTAAGCAATAGGCATTCACAGACATATTTGAAGCAATTTAAAATGTATTTAGGGGGAACAGACATGGTTGTGTAAGGTGAACTAAATGAACAGCGAGCCTTCCCTGAGGCGATTAGCCTAGCAGTGGTGTCTCTCCCACCTCACTCCAATGCCCCTCCTGTAGGAAGAAGCCGTAACTGCGGTTCCCAGGCTGTGTCCTGCCTCCAGAATACCCTTTCCAGCCCTCAGGGGCAGGAGTGACTCCTTTAGCCCCTCCTCTCAGATTCCTGATGTCTAGAGTCACCACCCTTCTACCTTGAGTCTCCTTTGCTTGGTTTGTGATTAGTGAGGGATTAGGAGCCTGAACAGGCTGGATATAGTGCACGCGGCTTGGTGAGGAAGGAGACCTAAGATTTCCCTGTCCTCCACATTCTCGCCCTTCCACAAAGGTATTAGAGACAGAATATGGAGTAAAACATGGCCACATATGTTTACTCTTATACCATTCTCCATTCATGCTGCTTACCCACCTGCAAAAGGCTAACTTGTTGTCACCCCTGGTCAATCCACCCTACCCTCACCCCAACTCGTGTGCACACCACCACCAGCATCAGGTCAAGCCACAAGCAATGTTGCCAAACACCCCACTGGGTTATGCAACCAGCTTCCCGGGCAGGGTGGGGAGGGTAGAGGTGGAACCAGGGGAGGGCCATGGTCCCAGAGGGAGCTGGCTGCCTTGCTTGCCTGCTGGTCTGACCGCAGTGGCCCCAGCGGGTGGGGGCAGGGCTGGCCCTTTATCAGTGCCCTGCAGGGTTGCACCCGCCACCCCCTGGCTTCCTTTCTCAACAGACGGAAAGGGGAGGCAGCCACAGGGGGCAAGGGGAGGGCTGGGTGTTATCCTAGGCAGCAGAGCCTGGCGGTTACCCCGGATGGCAGGGGGAGGTGGTGGAGGGGCTCTGGGACCCGGGAATAGTGAGAGACCCCTCTTACTAAAGTAAGATGGGGGGGAGATATAAACTGAGGCCCAGATGGTAGAGCTAGATCTCCTAAGCCATCCATTGGTTTTTCCTTATGTTCCAGTTTGGGTAAGGATAGGAAAAAACAGTCTCTGAGGAGGTTTTTTTCCACTGATAAGAATTCTTGGAGGATTGACTCAGGAGTTGATGAGAGTCTGTGCCCCACTCTCAGACAAAAAGTGTTTGGGGCTTTCAAGAGTCCAGGGTAGGACTGAGGTTTCCAGACCCTGTTATCTGAGAGCTATGCCCTGCTAGCAGAGCCCCGCACTGAACCCAGAATGGATGAAGGCTGATAGATGAGTCCAGAGTAACCCAGAAAAAATAAGCCTTGGGGCTGAATTCTAAGTCTAGAAAGAGAAGTATGCATGGTATATAGCAGAATTAGGGAGGACCAGATCTTGAATCTTAAGACTTGGGCTTGAATCCCCACATTTACTGGCTATGTGGCTTTGTTTCTGAGCTTTGTTTCCTCACCTGAAAAATGGCGATAATGATGATGATAACTATTTCATGGAGTTGTTGGGAAGATAGAATGAGATCAGTAAGATAACTAGTCTGTTATTATTAGGAGATGGAAGCTTAGAACCCTGAGGGCCAGAGGGCCTCAGGGGCTTGAGGACCTGAGAACAACCTGTCTGGAGGCCACATTCTGGGGGAGAGATGCTCAGGACGGAACTGAAGCCAGTGGGCTGGCTGATTCTGGGAGAGAACCAGGACTAGAATGTAGCAGGGTTTGGGGGCTGTGGCTAGACTTCCAGGAAAAAGCCCTCAGGCCATAGCGCTCCCACCCCAGCACTATTGGGCGGGGCCAGTTTTAGCCACACAGTGGGCACAGTGCCAGCCTTATGGGCTCCAGTCACCTTCCAGGAACCCCAGAACCCCTACCCCCACCTATCCTGTTGCAATCCTCTGCAGTGGGCGGAGCTGCCTAGGAAGTCCCACCTCTGCCCCTCAGAGGATGGAAGGCTTGATGCCTATTTATTTACCCCTTTTCACAGGCATCCTGCTCATTTCAACCGAAGCTCATTCTTTGCTCCCTCTACTCCCCTCCACCAGGATGCTCTTCTTGGCCCATTCTACCACCCAAGGCAGTATGGAGTAGAAGAGAGATCTGGGTTTGACTCTTCAGCTCAACACTTAGCAGTGTGGACCCAGTTTCCCCTGGCTAAACAGGGAGAACAGAGCTTCCGTCACAGGTTGTTGTGAGGGATCAGATGAGACGATGTACATATAGTACATTAATGTACATTTCTTTTTTTAAAATTAAGGTATTATTGATATACAATCTTATGAAGATTTTATATGAGCAACGTTAATGTACATTTCTTATACATAAAGTACATTCATGTTGGTTCTGATCCACTCTCCAAGGCCCAGTTCATTCAAGTTCAGTTCTATCTCCACAACACTTTTTGTGGGTATGTCAGCCCATACATATATTTTTGTTGTTGTTGTTGTTTAACTCCTTTATAATTATTATATGTAGCATATAATTAAAACCTCATTTAAATATTTTATTTCCTAGTTGAACAATTTGATTTTGTGTTTTATTATATCAACCTGTATTAGTGATGGTATATACAATACAGTTGTATTGGGCACCATTGTGTAATGGTTAAGAGCATGAGTTTTAAAGTTGGAAATGCCTGCATTCAAATCTTGGCTCTGACAGTCACAGATCTCAAGCAAATTCTTTAATCTTTCTGAGCCTAATTTTACCCATCTGTAATGGGAGGATAACAAAATTTATGTTATTGTGAGAAGTAAATGAGTTAAAAACCAGGTATGTGTTTTCAAGCCAGTGATTCAGTGCCTGGGATATAGAAAGCATTATTAAATGGCACATATGTAGTATATCTCATAACATAATTGAATAAATATTCAGTATATT